CTAGTACGTCGCATCGCATCTACTCGTCGTTGACAATAACAATAACAACAACAACAACAACACAAAGACAACGTGAAAGTTTTCCGTAATTGCGTGCCCCCCCTCCCTCTCGACTCTGAAGCGACAAGGACAGACGAGCCTTGTTAGCGGTCTGTCGATGGAGCACCGTATCTTTTGTAATTATTATGGCTGCTAATCCTTTTAGAGCAAGTGCGATAGTGCAAGGGGCCTCTGCTTCGGGCACGAGATTCCGAGAAGGCCCTGCAGCGTTCGCGGAGGCCTGGTCCGGCCGTGGCCGTCTCGACAGGTCATTGGCGCGGCGCGGCTGTCAGGGAGCCTGTCACGGTGACGACAGCTGACGACGGTGACACTTACCGGGACTCCAGGACACAACACTGCACTCCGTTAGGCAGGCCCTCGGCTGGCGACGCGAGCCTCTGCCTCGTTGTCTCGCTCCAGATTGGCTTCGCAGGGCAGACGACGACGGTGACGACGGTGGCGATGACCACTGACGAACGTCTACGTTGCGTACGCTCCATTCGCGAGACCGAGGTTTTCGTCTGTTTACCGCCCCCGGCCCCGGGCCGGAAAACCGTCCTCTTCTCATCGTTGACTCCTCGCTTCGCGGGCTTCGCAGTTTCGGAGCACGGCGGGCGGCTGCGGGCAGAGGTGGTCTTTCCGGCTCGGCGGGCGCAGCGGCGCAGCGCGGGGCGGCCCGAACCAAAACAATGCCCCAAGGGGTGCCAGACGATCAACTTGCCGCGGGCACCGTGCCTTTGTGTTTTTGTCTGTAATCACGGGCTGCTTTCCCCACCCCACCCACCCCACCCAGCCCACCCCGAGCCGTCCACTCCGCCCCGACCCCGCGCCCCGCCCCCGCGCCCCGCCCCCGCGCCCCGCCCGCGTCGCGTTCAAACAGCACGGCGAGCACGGTGTGCCAAACACAGGGTGCAGGCAGCAGCTCCTTGCGGACGTGGCGCGCTCTTGGAGACGCTCTTGCAGGCGCTCTTGGAGGTGCTCTTGCGCAGGCGCTTGCAGGCGCTCTTGGAGGCACTCTTGCAGGCGCTTTTGCAGGCGCTCTTGCAGGCGCTCTTGCAGGCGCTCTTGCAGGCGCTCTTGCAGGCGCTCTTGCAGGCGCTCTTCCAGGCGCTCTTGCAGGCGCTCTTGCAGGCGCTCTTGCAGGCGCTCTTGCAGGCGCTCTTCCAGGCGCTCTTGCAGGCGCTCTTCGAGGCGGTTTTCGCGCTCGCCTATTGGCTAACGCCCAGGGCTTGTGCTCGGCGCATCCACCCCGAAGCGCGCTCCTGACGCCGCACTTCCGCGTGCTGCGTTCAGCACGCCCGGGAAGAGAGAAAGAGGAGGGGGGGAGACCCGGAACACTGCGACTAGCAAAAGTCGGCGACGCTAAGGAAAATGGCGGACGCGATTTGTTGTTCTGCAAGACGCGTGTGTTGTTGGTGGCGTGGAAAAGAGGGGGGGGGGTCCCTGGAAGCGCTTAGCCCGGCGTTACTGATTGCTTCCGTCATAGGCTCGCGCGGAAATGAATGTGGCCGGCGGGCTTTTTGTCACCGGTGCCTGAATGCCCCCAGCAACCCCCCAGCAACCCCCCAGCAACCCCCCAGCACCCCGTGCAGCACCCCGTGCAGCACCCCCCGGCCGACTCGGGGCCACCACAAAGCCGATGTGGACAGGTGGAGGGCCCCGCCCGCGTCGCCCCTCGGGCACAAGGCCCCCGATCAAAACACACCGGAAGACACGGTAAATCGCCGCGCTGCCACACATTCCTGCCATTTCGGGAAAAATGGTTTTTGAATTTGGGCTGAAATTTCGGGGTGCAAGCATCTTTTTCTTGCCTCTCCGTCCGATTTTTGCTTTGATTCTTTTCTTTTTGAAGGGGATGGGGTGGATATCGGGCGTGAGCTGCATAGGCCATCAGAGTTTTTTTTCTCTCTCTCTCTCTCTCTCTCTCTCTCTCTCTCTCTCTCTCTCTCTCTCTCTCTCTCTCTCTCTCTCTGAGTCCCAGAGAGTCCTTCCAGAAGTGCTGCACTACTCCACCGCTGCACTTGCGCGGCCACGGCTGCAATGAATGGGCGCGTCCCCCAGCGAAAAGCGAAATGAAATATGTGCAGCTATAGCGCTGTGCTGCACGGGCGGCCGCGGCAAGCCGCGCAAGCACATCGCTCAGTGTGTTGGACACGGTAGACAGACGAAATCGGATCAGTCTGATTTAGAGGCTTCGTCCAGTATTCCTGACCGCGGCTGATTCGGTCAACTCCCGAATTTCTTCCTGAAGAACGGACGGCTGCGTTGAAGTCGGAACTCAAAAGGTCGCTGAGCACGCCGCCAGAAAATCCTATTTTCCCATCTTTTTTGTGTCCTCCAACCGGTTTCCTCTTCACAATTTTATTGCAGTGTTGTTTTGCTAGCCAGAGGTTCTTCTAATTGTCACGCGATGCAAGGGCTGAGAGCACGGCCGCGCATTGCCCTGCTTTTATGGCCGGGAGGCAGTGCTCGTCACAAACACTGTCACAAACACAAGGACTTCCCGGAAAATAGCCGGCGCGGACAACAAGGCTTATGATGCGTCCACTTTGGGGCTGCCGACCAGCCGGCCGCTCGGTGGCGTCCCGGTGGGGTCCCGGTGGCGTCCCGACAGGTGAGGGTGCAATGTCCAGCTTACAAAGTGGGTCCCTGATTTACAGCGGCCGGGGATTCGGCGTCTTCCCGACAGGCCGCAGGACATCGCAGGACATCCCAGGACGGCCGAGGCGCCAACGGACGCATCAAAGTGTCAAAGCGGGCGGCCTGCCCCACTTAGCCTCCACAATGCGTCCCGCAGAGGATGTTTACGATCGAAACGCGACCGTTTTTGTCCGCAGAAAACGGAGAAAGTTATTGAAAAGAATTGCCTTTTCTGCGTCAGCTGCCCTCTAACTAAACAGCGTGTGTGGTTTGTGGCCTGCAGGGAAAAGCGCGCACGTCCACCGCGGACCCTCCCAGGCAGCCCTGCAGGCCGAGCGGCACCGTGCCAGCCCTTCCCACACGCTGCCTCCGTCGATCCCAAAAGGATTCGCAAACAACGGCGCAGGGCATCGCAGGGCATGCTGGCAGATTGACCGCACTGCAACTCCCTCTATTTGCCGTCTCTCCCCCACCAACCCTTCCCTTTCGCCCCTTCGGGCTCTTCGGGCCCTTCGGGCTGCCTGCCTCCCTTATCCTTTCCGTGACACTCTACCGCCGCATGTGCTGGGCGTGTGCTTTCCAGGAGCCGGGCCGAGGTCCCGGAAAGGCGGAAGGGCAGCGCAGCACAAGCACGTGCGCACGCGTGTGTGTGCGCTTGTGTGTGTGTGTGTGTGTGTGTAAGTGTGTGTGTGTGTGTGTGTGCGTGTGAGTGTGAGCGCGCGTGCATATGCCCACATATGCATGCCCGGGTACTGACCTCCTGCACAATAAGCGATAACGGCGGATCGCCTCTTTTGACGTTGCCCCCCCCCCCCTTTCCCCCGTTGTGTACTACACACCACGGGACCGCTTTGTTTGCAATAACAGCCGGATGATGTTCGGGAGGCACCCAACTATATAGTATTTAATAACATCCCTTCCTGTCCCGGAGGTCCGCTCAGAGTTCGTAGTGTGCCGCTAAAAGGCGCCACTTTTACTGCCTGTTTGTGTGGGCCTTCGGGCCGCGGGGCCGGAAGTGGAAACGGGTCCGTTTCATGGCAGCGCGGTGCAGCGCGGTGGCCGCCATGCTTTTTCCAACGACATGTTTTCCCCCGCGTCAAATTCTTTTCGGGTGCCGGCGTCACTTTTGTGACGGGGACGAAAAAATTCCGCGCCCCTCTCACCGAACACGTGAAGCACTGCCTGCCGCCCCTCTTCCCGACGACAGGTGCGTGAAGAAACACTCCTTCGCCTTTTTTTGTGCCTAGGGCGTGCAGTACACGGCGTTTCGCTGCTAAAGGCACCTCTCGAGAAGATGGAAACTGCAAAATCGCAGGAATGTCACCGCAGATGCCTGGACAACTCTTAGAGACTGTTCTGTTCCGCCGCTGAAATCGGAGAGAGGGAAGGCAACTGGCTTCCCTGAGGCCCGCGGTCTCTCCGAGCGGAGCCCTCTAGGGAACAGGTGGGCACGCGCTGCACGACGCCTGCAGGCTGATTGCGAGTGGCGAGTCCCGTCAGTCCGTCCTTCTCGCCTGGTTTCGAGAGAGAGAGAGTGAGAAAGCGAGAGAGAGAGAGAGAGAGAGAGAGAGAGAGAGAGAGAGAGAGAGAGGGAGAGAGAGATACCTTCTTCCGCTCACGCTCCGGGCTATATCACCATCACGGTTTCGTACAAGTTTCAAGTTGGGGGTTCCTACTAGCAGCCTTACAAGAACTTCTGTAAAACCGAGTCCAAGCGCTCTACTAGCAAGGCCCTTTCTCATCACGCCTTTCATTCGAGCCAGCTGACCACAGATGAGAAGCGCAGTGGCGCTGTTCGGCGCGAAGCGGGCGAGACGTCACTCACACCAACGCAAGTCCTAGTGCGGTGCAACGGGTACCGTAAGCGACACGGTGGAAGCAGCGAGTCGCGCCTAACGACCTAACTGCTCCAAAATCTCCAAATGCTGCTAGGAGCGGCCAAGACACGGATACATCCTTGAGTCCGAAAACCACCAAGAAAGGTGCAGGGCAGGTATGCCGGCCAACGCATCGTGCCGACTGGAATTTCCGGCAAGCGGGCAGGCCAGCGGCAGGCCGAGCGCGGCGCCGATCTCGTGAAAATGCGAGGGCGCCGATTCGAGGAACCATATAGCGACGCTCGCGCAACTTGAAGCCCTCCCGCAGGCGCGCATGCCACAGGAATCTGGCGTTTGTTTCCTTTTCTCAACAACCCATCTTGGCCGCCAAAGAGTAAATTTTGTCTCACATTCTGCGTGAAGGGCTATTTCCGGACAAGGACCTACTACGCCAAGCGGCATTTCTTTGTAGCGTGAAACTAACAACAAAAGGAACAAATGAAAAAAAGTTATTTCACTAGTGTTTATTTCAATTTGATCAACATCGCAACCAACATCATCAAGGAGATAAACCGGTTTCAAATATTCAAAACATAAACAAACAAAATTTAAAACAGGAAACCTAACAACAAAAACTAAAACAAAATAACAAAATGAGATTTATAACTAGGCGGAGGGTGTAGTCCTTCTTCGCCTGCTCTTACAAGAACATTTGACGCTTTTCAAAAATTCTTTGAAAAGAATGGCCCTCAGGGTATCAATATTAGTCAGATCGCCAGTATGAGGATGGTCGGTGACGGAGACGACCTCACAGTCTGAGTCATGGGTATCGTCTTCAGTCGTTGTAGAAGCTGCAGTCGTGGTGCGCCTGAAGACATGATATATAAAAGTGAACAATAAAACGAAAAAGCAACCAGAAATAAAAACTTAACTTCTAGACAAGCAAAAAAACTTACCCTGTAGTTGATGAGCCAGAGGTTGAAGCGGTTGCCGAAGAATTAGACGTGGTCGAAGAGGAAGATGAAGATGTTGAGGTTGACGAAGAAGCTGACGTACTTGTCGATGAGGAACTGCCACCGGTCGTGGTTGAGGCGGTGGTCGAGGAAGGTTCGGTTGTTGTGGGCGACTCAGTTGTGGTGGAAGTTGATGTCGTCGATGATGGATTTGCGGTCGTGGTTGACGTCGTGGTCGTCGAAGAAGAGTCGTCTGCAGCGGTTGTTGATGTGTAACCGGAGGAGGTACTAGTGGTATCGCTGCTACTTGAAGTGCTGGTCGACGAGCTTGAGGATGCCGCAGTTGACGAAGAAGCTGACGAACTTGTCGATGAGGAACTGCCACCGGTCGTGGTTGAGGCGGTGGTCGAGGAAGGTTCGGTTGTTGTGGGCGACTCAGTTGTGGTGGAAGTTGATGTCGTCGATGATGGATTTGCGGTCGTGGTTGACGTCGTGGTCGTCGAAGAAGAGTCGTTTGCAGCGGTTGTTGATGTGTAACCGGAGGAGGTACTAGTGGTATCGCTGCTACTTGAAGTGCTGGTCGACGAGCTTGAGGATGCCGCAGTTGACGAAGAAGCTGACGAACTTGTCGATGAGGAACTGCCACCGGTCGTGGTTGAGGCGGTGGTCGAGAAAGGTGTGGTTGTTGTGGGCGACTCAGTTGTGGTGGAAGTTGATGTCGTCGATGATGGATTTGCGGTCGTGGTTGACGTCGTGGTCGTCGAAGAAGAGTCGTCTGCAGCGGTTGTTGATGTGTAGCCGGAGGAGGTACTAGTGGTATCGCTGCTACTTGAAGTGCTGGTCGACGAGCTTGAGGATGCCGCAGTTGACGAAGAAGCTGACGAACTTGTCGATGAGGAACTGCCCCCGGTCGTGGTTGAGGCGGTGGTCGAGGAAGGTGTGGTTGTTGTGGGCGACTCAGTTGTGGTGGAAGTTGATGTCGTCGATGATGGATTTGCGGTCGTGGTTGACGTCGTGGTCGTCGAAGAAGAGTCGTCTGCAGCGGTTGTTGATGTGTAACCGGAGGAGGTACTAGTGGTATCGCTGCTACTTGAAGTGCTGGTCGACGTGCTTGAGGATGCCGCAGTTGACGAAGAAGCTGACGAACTTGTCGATGAGGAACTGCCCCCGGTCGTGGTTGAGGCGGTGGTCGAGGAAGGTTCGGTTGTTGTGGGCGACTCAGTTGTGGTGGAAGTTGATGTCGTCGATGATGGATTTGCGGTCGTGGTTGACGTCGTGGTCGTCGAAGAAGAGTCGTTTGCAGCGGTTGTTGATGTGTAACCGGAGGAGGTACTAGTGGTATCGCTGCTACTTGAAGTGCTGGTCGACGAGCTTGAGGATGCCGCAGTTGACGAAGAAGCTGACGAACTTGTCGATGAGGAACTGCCACCGGTCGTGGTTGAGGCGGTGGTCGAGGAAGGTGTGGTTGTTGTGGGCGACTCAGTTGTGGTGGAAGTTGATGTCGTCGATATTGGATTTGCGGTCGTGGTTGACGTCGTGGTCGTCGAAGAAGAGTCGTTTGCAGCGGTTGTTGATGTGTAACCGGAGGAGGTACTAGTGGTATCGCTGCTACTTGATGTGCTGGTCGACGAGCTTGAGGATGCCGCAGTTGACGAAGAAGCTGACGAACTTGTCGATGAGGAACTGCCACCGGTCGTGGTTGAGGCGGTGGTCGAGGAAGGTTCGGTTGTTGTGGGCGACTCAGTTGTGGTGGAAGTTGATGTCGTCGATGATGGATTTGCGGTCGTAGTTGACGTCGTGGTCGTCGAAGAAGAGTCGTCTGCAGCGGTTGTTGATGTGTAACCGGAGGAGGTACTAGTGGTATCGCTGCTACTTGAAGTGCTGGTCGACGAGCTTGAGGATGCCGCAGTTGACGAAGAAGCTGACGAACTTGTCGATGAGGCACTGCCCCCGGTCGTGGTTGAGGCGGTGGTCGAGGAAGGTTCGGTTGTTGTGGGCGACTCAGTTGTGGTGGAAGTTGATGTCGTCGATGATGGATTTGCGGTCGTGGTTGACGTCGTGGTCGTCGAAGAAGAGTCGTCTGCAGCGGTTGTTGATGTGTAACCGGAGGAGGTACTAGTGGTATCGCTGCTACTTGAAGTGCTGGTCGACGAGCTTGAGGATGCCGCAGTTGACGAAGAAGCTGACGAACTTGTCGATGAGGAACTGCCACCAGGCGTGGTTGAGGCGGTGGTCGAGGAAGGTTCGGTTGTTGTGGGCGACTCAGTTGTGGTGGAAGTTGATGTCGTCGATGATGGATTTGCGGTCGTGGTTGACGTCGTGGTCGTCGAAGAAGAGTCGTCTGCAGCGGTTGTTGATGTGTAACCGGAGGAGGTACTAGTGGTATCGCTGCTACTTGAAGTGCTGGTCGACGAGCTTGAGGATGCCGCAGTTGACGAAGAAGCTGACGAACTTGTCGATGAGGAACTGCCACCGGTCGTGGTTGAGGCGGTGGTCGAGGAAGGTTCGGTTGTTGTGGGCGACTCAGTTGTGGTGGAAGTTGATGTCGTCGATGATGGATTTGCGGTCGTGGTTGACGTCGTGGTCGTCGAAGAAGAGTCGTCTGCAGCGGTTGTTGATGTGTAACCGGAGGAGGTACTAGTGGTATCGCTGCTACTTGAAGTGCTGGTCGACGAGCTTGAGGATGCCGCAGTTGACGAAGAAGCTGACGAACTTGTCGATGAGGAACTGCCCCCGGTCGTGGTTGAGGCGGTGGTCGAGGAGGGTTCGGTTGTTGTGGGCGACTCAGTTGTGGTGGAAGTTGATGTCGTCGATGATGGATTTGCGGTCGTGGTTGACGTCGTGGTCGTCGAAGAAGAGTCGTTTGCAGCGGTTGTTGATGTGTAACCGGAGGAGGTACTAGTGGTATCGCTGCTACTTGAAGTGCTGGTCGACGAGCTTGAGGATGCCGCAGTTGACGAAGAAGCTGACGAACTTGTCGATGAGGAACTGCCACCGGTCGTGGTTGAGGCGGTGGTCGAGGAAGGTGTGGTTGTTGTGGGCGACTCAGTTGTGGTGGAAGTTGATGTCGTCGATGATGGATTTGCGGTCGTGGTTGACGTCGTGGTCGTCGAAGAAGAGTCGTTTGCAGCGGTTGTTGATGTGTAACCGGAGGAGGTACTAGTTGTATCGCTGCTACTTGAAGTGCTGGTCGACGAGCTTGAGGATGCCGCAGTTGACGAAGAAGCTGACGTACTTGTCGATGAGGAACTGCCACCGGTCGTGGTTGAGGCGGTGGTCGAGGAAGCTGTGGTGTTTGGGGTTTCTGTAGAAGTTGAATCTGGTTCAGTGCTTGTTGACTCAGCGCTTGATGCGGAACCTGATGTGTGGGCGGAGCTGTTGGATGTTGAACCATTTGCCGTGCCTGTGTTTGCGCTGGCGCTAGCTCCGGGCACTGATACATTTGCACTGGCAAATGTGTCACCGTCTGCATCGACGCCACTTCTCGTGTTTGAGGCCGACTGTGATGACTCGGCCGTTTGGCTGTAATCAAATTTTTTAATATTTAGTTAGTTTTATTTATTTTGTTTTCATTCATATTCTATTTGGTTACTTACCTTGATGGCGACCTATTTCCTGCGGTTCTGCTGGTTGGTGAACTGGCTGTATACGTTGACGTGCCTGAGGGTGACGTTGCTGTGGCGGTTGTCGTCCCGCTTGATTGCGTCCTTGACGTAGCGCCTACAGCCGAAGCGATTGATGAGTCAGTTGTCGATGACGTAGAAGCAGTAGTTGTTGATGATTTAGTTGTTGTAGTTGAAGATTCTGTTGTCGTTGATGAGGCCGTAGACCCGGAGCTTGGTTGCTGGCCGGTGGCGTTGACGTGGAACGTCACCGTGTTTACGCCCGCGTCGTCGTTGACGCCGTTGAAGTACGTCGCGATCGAGTTGAGTAGGCTTGCGATGAAAGTGCTTAACTGAGCGTAGAGGTTGCTTAGAGAGCCGCTGCCGGACCCGGTCGTCATCGTCGACTGGATATTTCCGCTGACTACGCCGTTCGCATTGTTGGAGCTGTTGGTGTTGCTGACGTGATTTACGTTTGCGGTGAATGCTGCCCCCAGTGATGCTGGTGCTGGCTTGCAAAGGACCTGCAACATGAAGGAACTAATTTTGCGCTGCAATTTAAGCCTGGAAAGAATATTCAAAGAGTGATTGTAACAGTTTTCCTTTAAAATTATGTCATATTATTCGCTGTAAGAAATTTATTGGGATTTAACAAAAGTACCTCTGAAAAAAAATGTTGCCGACGGTTTATTTACAAATCTACAAAGATTCTTAATGATTTATCCTAAACTACGAAGAATATGCGTAATTTAACGGTCGTTGCAGCAACCTTGTTTATTTTTCAGAGATACATTTTTGTAGCTTTTATACCTTTATTTTTACAGTGTATTAAAAAATAAATATTTGAAAGGGTAGGGCAGTACACTGGTGAAACAAAGGCATAAAAATTATGCCCTTTAAGGGCGTAAACGATTTACGCCCTTAAAGGGCATAAATCGTTAATGCCTTTGGGAAGGGCATTAAAATTTTGCTTGAAATTCCTATACCATTTACGCCCTTCCCAAGTGCATGAAACGATTTATGCCCTTGCAAGGGCGTAAAAGAGTATTTATGCCCTAAAGGGCGTAATTTTTATGCCTTTGTTTTACCAGTGTAGTTTTCATCTTTTTACTGCTCGCCACCCAAAATGATCGGGACCCCCCCGTAAACATAGTACTTTACCACCCCTTCCCGCCCCTTTTTCCATTTTTGTCGTTCTTTCTGTATCTGAGATACCAGGCCTACACTAGGTCCCTGACTCATGGGAACTTGTTACCGGCAGGCGACTTCCTTTAACTCTCGCACTCGACGTTTTATGCACTCCCTGGTACGTACACTTCAGCTTGAATGCCGAGTGAAGAGCAAGAAGAAAAACAGAATAACTGAAGAAAAATCACCGGAACCCTTTCCCAAAATCGTCTTATTTGAAGGTTTTGACGGTTTGAAATCATGGAGCTCGACTTTGTTTGGTTTTTATCAATTTTTAGAACCCAAATAAACCTATATCATTATCAAATTAACAAATTTTATGGACTCTTTCCAGCTTTTGTTATTCTTCTTCTTCACTCGGTGCTCGGTGGAAGTGTCTATTTGCTAAAAAACAGCACACTCTTTGCTTTGGTTCTAGTTGCTTGAAAATAGATAGAAACAAAGTTTGAAATCGTTCGTAGTTTTTAGACGCCGGACAGAGGGCGACTCGAATAGTATACGGACACTTCACTTTTCACTGTGCCGGTGTTCTCGACGCACACATTTCACATTCTTCCTCCAGGGGCGCAGCCTAGTCCTTCCCTGCCGGTGCCGCCAAGTCCCTCCCTGTCGGCGGGGCCAAGTCCACTTACAGGGTGGAGGGTGTCCAGGAGCAGGAGGGACAGGATGAGGACGCGCTTCCAGCAGATGCCGCCCCGCTCGGGCGCCATGATGACGGTGACGACGACGATGAGGGTAATCCAAGGGGCACGCACTCGCGACGGTGGGCCGACCGCCCCGCGCGCGTCTTATACGAGTCCGGCGAGCAGCGGGCCGGGCCGGGCGGCTTGTAATGCGACCAGAATCTATCGTCGACTGGCAGCTAATCGCGCGATGCAACCAGACCGCCCCCCTGCCGGGCCCTGCCGGGCCCCGCCGACCGACTGGCACCGTGTTTAATGTTTGCCGTTTCAGGGGAATTGTCGCATCGGGGGCGTTTTCTGGCCTGATTTGTTGTGGTTACTCGTCGCGGCCCGCGCCGAGAAGTGCTGAGCGCGGCTAGCGCGGCGCGGCCGCCCGCGTGCCGCCAAACCTGGCGCGCATTGCCGCGGCCAGAGCAGCTGCTCCTGCGCATCGCCGTTAGGGGCGTCCGACTATAGCCAGTTCAAGAGGAAGGTCTAGCCAGCGGGCAGGCGCAGACGGAACGCGACACTGACCTGGCCTTGCAGATTGGTTCGACTTGGTCCGTGCCCGCCCGCCACGAAATCGGATGCACCTAACATCGGCCCGAAAAGTTTTTGTAAAGGACGCAATGCACGCTGAGGCGTTGGCACGCGAGGCCCGTCCCGGTGCCGAAGGTTGCCCGCCGCGGCTTTCAAACGGTGCTACCGCGACGCGGTGGTGCGAAGTCATCGGCCCGGTGCGTGGGCGGGGAGTCCGCCACCGGACGCAGCCCCCGCGAGGTGGGCGTCGACGGGGGCGTCGACGAGGGCGTGGTGCAGCCCAAGGCTGCCGCCATCGCGCGCCCGGAGCGGGTGGCAAATTGAAAATTAAAAGTGCATCAGCGGGTGCCGTGCGACCGCGCGTTGAGGTCACTGCAGCCTTGATGAGCGGGGTCCCTCGCGTCGCTCGTCGGCTAGGCCAGGTAGCCGCCAAAGGCGCCGACACTCGACGCCGGCAGGTTTTTTTCTAGCGGCCCCACTTCGCTGGCGTTGTCGTTTTCGAACCGCTTGAGCCCATTGTGCCGGGCGTGCCGGGCCATTCTGGAGTGGAGGTCTATTGGCGCCGTCCGCCGCGTCCACCGCGGCTTCGCGCTGAGGCCAGCACACCGCCCGCGAGACCCGTCCGACAATTAGCGGCGAGGGCTCTCAAACGGCTGCAGTGCCAACCCTGTGCCAACCGTGCGCGCGTAGCTCCGTTTTTTCAGCTTTTCCTTTTTTGCTTTTTATCAAAGTGCGCTCGCTGCCTATTCATTTCCAGCGAGTGAGGTCGATTGAACTGGTTCAGAGTAAGGGCAACACGAATGGGTAACGGACGTCTCCCTTTTATCTCTGTCTCCTTTTCATTTATTCATTCATTTATTTATTTATTTTGCCGGCGGTGGATGTGAAGGCGGCCGCGCACTGCTGCGGCCGCTCCGGCAGTAAACATTTTATGGCGTCTTTAATTCGGGAGTCACAATCTCAAATTAGCAGACATGCAAAAGTATCAAATTTGTTTCGAGTCGCTGGGCAGCTATATTAGAGCTAGCGCTGTGACGTGAATTTCTGCCGGCCCGGGTTCGACTCCCGCCCCATGCTGCACCAATTTAATTTGTTTTTGTGAGATTCTGGGCCTGCGTCATCATTACCGCCAGGCAGCGCGTGGCGTGCGTGTCTGTGGCGTGGCGGCGTGGCCGGCGCGGCCGACACCCGCCGCCTCCAATTTGGACGTCTCCTTCGCCTTGCACGACGCTTCCTTCCTGCCGCGAGTGGCAGGTGCCAAAACGGCCAAAACGCCGGCCGGCCGGGAGCGCAGCCCTGGGGGACGACTGGGTCCAAGCCCTGCCGTGTTGTCACTCTGTCTCTCTCGGCCTTACGGAGTGCTCCACGAGTGCGACAGAGACAGAGCGACGAAATCGCTCTTTCTGAATCGCGCTGCGCAGCGAGCCTCGTCGTCTCTGGGGTGCGCGCAGTCAGTCCGCCGGTCCTTGGGGGCCCCAGGCGCGATGCGGCGCGATGCGGCGCGATGCGGCGCGATGCGGCGCGATGCGGCGAAGGGTGGTGAAGGCCAAGTGGGGTGTCTTCTTGCCAGACGACTTGCCTTGCCGCAGCGGCTTGCCGCGTGCACTCAGCCAGTGGACTGCCGTCTCGGCCGACACCGCCGTGTCTCCTTTCTCCCTTTCCAGAGAACTTGAACTGGGGAAGTCCTCGGCCGGCGCCTCTTGAGCAGACTCGCCGCTGAGGCCGTGTCACGCCGAGTGCGCGGCCGCGACGTCTCCATTGCGAGCACGAGGAGAGCACGAGTTGACAAGCACCCCCAGCCTGGATTGGCTCCACCCCCACCCCCCGACACGCTCGGTGCGCCGCGTGGGAAAGCCGAGCCGGGCCTGCAGACTGATTCCAGGAGCTCGCCGCTCTGCCCCTCTCGCACTCATGGGCCGCGCCGTGTGGCCGTGCGGCCGCGAGAGAGATAGAGCTCTCGGAATCAGTCTGCTAAATGGCAAAGCGGGGCCCTCGCGGGGGCGCCGGTGACGCACTGCAGCTGCGGGCACCTGCCGGCCGCCTCGCGCCTCGCACCTGCAGCACCTGCAGCAGCACCTGCAGCAGCACCTGTCGCGTGCACCACCGTTTGCATCTCGCTGCGCACAGCGCACCTGCCGCGCGAAGAGTCGCTCTGTCTCTCTCGCACCCGTGTGCGACTCTACGTACGGGTGCGAGGGAGACAGAGCGACAAACCGGCGGGGCAGCCGGCTGCGATTACGGAGGGAAGTCCGAGTGCCGTGAGTCATTGCCGGCCGGGCGGCAAGGTGTGCCGGGCGCATGTGCCCTCCCGTCGACATGTCTCGCCCCGTCGCTCCCAACTTTGTTCAAACAAGGCGCCTTTTTTTGCGGCTTGCTGCTCGGCCGGTGCGGCTGGAGCCGGGGGGGCAGTAGGGGCAGATCGGCTTGTCGCTCTGTCTCTCTCACACCCTCACGGAGAGCCCATGAGTGCGAGAGAGACCGACTCTCCTGAATCGCGGCGCGGCTTCTCACGCCCCGTTATTTATGGCGAAGGGCGCCTGGCGTGCCAGCGGCGTGCCACATGCGGCGTGCGGTCCGAGACATGCCCGTCGGTTTGATTCCATTTGGTCGCGCCCCGTCGCGCCGCCGCCCACCGGAGACATGTGCCTCCACTGCGTCCGCTGCGCGTCCATGCAGAGACTCCAGCGGGGCCAGGCTGGCCGTCCCCGTCCTTTGCTTGTCGCCCGTATCGCCTGTCGGGTCGTGCGATAACGGAGCCACTCGTGTCACTCATCGCCGCCCTGGACGACGGCGTCAAGGACGCGGCGGCGTCGCGGCTCGCAGCGTCGTGGCGCAGCGCGGCAGCGGAGTGATTCCGAGCTCTGCTTTCGTCGCTCTGTCTCTCTCGCACTCATGGGTCGTTCCGCAAGGGCGAGAGAGAGAGAGGCAAAGTGACAGTGCTTGGAATCATCAGCCCGCGTCGCGCAGCGCTCGGCGTAGCGCAGCGCAGCAGCGCGTTGGGGGTGGGGGCCGTCTGGACAGTCCCCTGCAGCCCTCGGCCGCGCGTCGTGGCACTCGGCGGCACTCGGCCGACCGCGCGTGGGCGTCCCCTGGCGTCGCCGCCGAGGAATGCTCCGCCGCCGTGGCCACCGTTCGGCCGGATGTTTTGGCGATATCGGTTGTCCATCGCGGGGCGGGGCGGAGCGGGGCGGGGCGGAGCGGGGCGGGGCGGAGCGGGGCGGGGCGGGGCGGAGTGGGGTGGGGTGGGGCGGGGCGCGGCGGGGCGCGGCGGGTGCGGCGGGGGCGTCGCCTCCCCGACTCACCTCGCTCCATATTGTATCGGCACATCTGCGTCCCAGGGCCGGCCGGGCCGGCGGGGGGCGTGCGGGGGGCGCTCCCGTGCGTTCAATAATCTCAGGGCTGTGGCCAATGAGCTCAGTCGCCGGTATGGACTGCCTGTCCCCTCGATGCTCCTCGAAATGTCGTTGAGTGGGACATTTTTACTTCACTGTAACTTTTAGGTGTTGAAACTTTACTCGTGTGCATGACAGTATTTGAGTGGGTACGGGTTTGCGCAGCTCGGCGCAGCTCCTCTCACGTCAGAGAGGGGTGGATTTCAAAGTGAAACCACTCAGTTCCCCCAGTCTTTGCGACCGGGATGTGAGACCCTGGCCGGCGTGCTTTCCGAGAACGAGATGAGGAAGGCCGGCGTGCTCTCCGAGAACGAGATGAGGAAAACCCTTTGCAGCGCCCTTCCAATGAGTCGCCCGGAGTCAGCAAAAGGGAGTTCCTCGGGGGCCGCCGAGGCGTCAACACGTGTGGGTCCGTGTCGCTCTCGACCCACAAAAACGCCCTCGCCCTTGCCTGATTTGGGGCTCGCTGCAGGCATCTGCGCTGTGTTTTACGTCGCTCGAGCCTGCTCCAGCCGCCGGCAGGGCCGTCCTTGCCTGGGGCGACGCTCGGAGCAGGCACCGGTGCTGCGTTTTGCGTCGACGCACCGGGGCCGTGCGTGGCCGAGCCGCGCCGTGGGCGGGGCCGGCCTGTCCACTGTCGTCGCGCGTGGGTCAAGTTCAGTGTCACAAGTGCTACCAGTGCGGTTCGTGCAAGCTACCACCGCCTAAAGGATACTGCGCTCCGAGGGACAACGCGGGGACCGGCAGCTGGACCGGCGGGGGGGGCCCGGCCCCGGACCCGCCGGGAGGTTTGATGCACCGCGGCCAATCTCGCGCCTCACCTGTGCACTGTACCCAGGACGGCCCTACTGACCGACAAATCGGCGCTGGCCCCTCCTCCCTCGGCCTGCACGTAGCGACACGAGGGAGTGAGGTCCGGCCCGGGTCCTCGGCCACGGGGCCTGGGTGCTGGCCCCCCGCTCGGCGCTCTGAGGAGAGCCGTGCGGCCGGGCTGGCCTGTGGGCAGTGCTAGTGCCACGTCTATGTCGTTGTTATCGGGGCGTGCACCCCGCCGGGCCCACCTGACCGTTACACCGGCGCGGAACCAACCCTCCCTGGATTGCACGTTAGCACGACGGGACGGGCGACTTCCGGCTGGCCGCGGCCATGGGGCCTGAGTGCCGGCCCACCGCTCGGCCCTCCGAGGAGAGCCACGCGGCCGGGCTGGCCTGTGGGCAGTGCTAGTGCCACGTCTATGTCGTTGTTGTCGGGGCGTGCACCCC